GGAATTGAATGACACAATGATGCATCTTTCTACAGAGAACATTCTTCTCAAACTACGATGTACAGGCTTGGAAAATGCTCTACGAAATGAGCAGAAGAAGCGACAGCGTGGGAAGCCTTTACAGCTTCAGCTTCAAGCACCAGAAGATGGTAATGCCATCTTTTACAGCCTTAAGAAGGTTCAACAAGCGCAGGATCTTCAAGCAGAGAAGGAGGAAGCTGCACGCATTGCTAAGGCCGCCAAAGAGGAAGATAAGATACATCAGCAGCAGGAGAAAGAAGAGAAAATACGCTTGATTAAAGAACAAAAGAGAATAAGGGCTTATAATAAGAGTCTACGAATGCAGGAAGCGGAGGAAAAGAGACGCCAGAAAGAGGAGGAGAAAGCTACAAAACAAGCTTCTCTACAGCTTCAAAATAATGTCAAACAGGCTAATAAAGGTAAGAAAAAGTGTACCGAGTCTACTACGGAAAAGAAAAAGAATAATACCTATAGGAAAAGTGAGGAAGAAGTGGAAGAGGCACCTGTTACTGTAAATAGTCGAGGAAGGCAAATACGGCTTCCGCAGCGATTCTGAAACACCAAAAACTAGCTAAACAACCTCTCTGGACTTGTTATTTGGTTCCATTAAAAATACTAATCATTTTATGTTCTAGTTGTGGCTGTATAGCTTCACTTCTGCACTCGTAGTTGACCCGAAAATCAGGCGCCAGGTGATAGCGGGCGTCAGGTGATCGGGGACGGTAGGCATTTAATATAGTTAACCTAACACACTACTGCATAGTCTTTAGCCATCTTATTCACTAATAGCATGTGTATAATAGAGGGAAATAGATAATATTTACCATTAGGACATTAGAGGTATGCTGATCTATCTACATCTCTGCTTCCAGAGGGCTTTATTTAAATCTTTCATCCCCTAATAATACCCTGCATAAAAATGGAATGCATTCTCTAAACCATGCCGGTGGTCTTTACATGCAGGTGAAGAGTGCACTCCTAAAACAGTTAGAATAAGATCCTTTATTTTAACCTCAACCATAGGACATAGTGAAGGTAAAGTTTCATTCAGATACAACATTAAATCGTCCTGAATACAAAACTATTTTTGGTACATCTCCACATTAACACAACCGACGGAAGTGGCGTGGATTAATAAATCCCGTATTTCCCATTCAATGTCTACGAAGGAAACGATCATCGCATTTGGCCCCAGAATTGGCTATCCAAGGAACGAACACTGGCTAGTCAGGGACCTTGGATGATCAGTGTGTTGCTCTTAATCCTGTTAGAGCGATCTCCGGCCTCGCAAAATGATACCCATCTAGCCAGATAGTGTGTTTTAGCGACTTTAGAGATGACGATCCTCTCGTATACTCGCCCCACAGACGGGATGTTACAACTTTACTCGAAATCCTCGCACAAGTTGTCCGAATCTATTCATATGCTTGAATGTTCTGTGGTCCAAAATCCGACGACGGTCGATTCGGTAGCTCGTATCAGTCTGGATCTATTTTGAGGTGCGCACATCGCAATCAAACTTAATGATCGTGTCGGCAAAGAGTCTGTGTGGACCGAATATATATACCAGCATCATCCTGCTCATGTCGAGAGAGACCACATCAAGGCACTGAAAGTACCATCGCCTCCCTCTGCAAAATGAAGTTCTCCATTGCTGCTATTGCCACTATTGCCGGCCTGGCTTCGGCCCTCCCCAGTCAACCCGAAGCCCGCGCAACCACGATCCAGGGCTTCGACATCTCCAACCACCAGAAGAGCGTCAACTTTGAAGCTGCCAAGAAGGATGGCGCGCAGTTCGTGATGATCAAGGTTCGTCGATATGCGACAATCCACAGCTCACTCAGCTGACATGCTCTACAGACTACTGAAGGCACGACCTACAAAGACACCGTCTTCAACTCACACTACACTGGCGCCACCAAGGCTGGCCTTCTCCGCGGTGGATACCACTTTGCCCGCCCTGACAAGTCCACCGGCAGCACACAAGCCAAATTCTTCCTGAAGAACGGCGGCGGATGGAGCAACGATAACCGCACACTGCCTGGGATGCTGGACATCGAGTACAACCCCTACGGAGCGACATGCTACGGCCTCAGCCATTCCCAGATGGTCGCTTGGATCCACGACTTTGTCGACGAGTACCATCATGCGACGAGTCGGTGGCCTATGATCTACACCACTGCAGACTGGTGGAATCGCTGCACGGGCAACGCCAAGGGCTTCGGCGATAAGTGTCCTCTGGTTCTGGCGGCGTATAGCAGCTCTCCTCCCAAGACGATTCCTGGTGACTGGAAGACATGGACGATCTGGCAGAATTCGGACAAGTATGAGCATGGAGGGGACTCGGATAAGTTCAATGGCCCGATGACGCAGTTGAGGAAGTTGGCCAGTGGTTAAGTCTAGGCTAGCATTCTCTGTCGTTGTGCTATATTCTGTATTACCTATTCTCCTGGTCCGCTTGGCTTTATAGAGATTTCTTCGCGCACCTATTTGTTGCATTATACACTCATATTGTATGGTATTATTCTATGCACAAGGCCCATCAATTTAGTTCCTCGTTGACAAGATTGAATATAATCCTTTTCGTTGACATAAGTATGACGGGAATGTGCCATCTGCACTACCATGTCACCGTGACTCGATATATGGTGTTGTTTATTGGCATTCCACAAACCCCCTTGGTTTGCCACTAGAGGTATAAGCTCATGATTTGACACACCAGGCTGTGTCCCTGGCTATTGAGAAAGAGCACGTCATGCTAGGATCATTCCGCGGCGCAGCATATAAGAACAACATATGAAGTAAACCGTCTACCTGCATTTAAAAGCCACTCTCTACTGCACTGGCACATCACGCGGTAGACTGTACTCATTTAATACTCCTGTCAACAAAATGCCTTCTAAACCAGTCGGCGACCATCCGCTCCAACCTAAGAAGGTGCACGGCGTGACCCGCGATGATGCGCCGATTGACGACTACGAGAACGCCCTCCGCTCGAAGCAGCAGGAAGAAGAGCCCTCAGACAGGGGTAATGACGCCCCATCACATTTTGGGACGTCCACAAGACATAAGGGCGCTCGGACTCGATCCCGGGGCTCGGAGAATCGATCGACCACGGGGCGTGTTTGAAACCTGGATGATGCAAAATTGAGAATACAATCAGCTATTTGCTTGGATGTGGCGGTGTTATCTGAGGGCTCTGCAAGGTTCTTGTATATAATGTTACGGTCTCGAGTACTACTAGAATATGTGGACCTGTGAAATTGACACCAAAATGACTACTACTAAAGCCACTGCTTTAGCACTTAAGTACATGCTACACACCACCATTCTACACCTGCTAAGTATTATATAGCCACTATCCTCAGGTGATAAACGCTAGCAAGTATTCACACTAATTCAACTTTTTGCCAAATTTCGAAACATCTTGAGCGGATCAACTCTGATTTGTGAGAATTGTTCTGCTGCTTAGCTATTACAGGTCTTATCAGATATATTAACCCATAGTTTAATGAGTGTTAAAGATTTGAGTAGAAGCCAATAGGTTTGCTACTTAACTTACAAGCTTTACTCCTAGTTAATCCTATTAGCCCTCACTTTATTGAGGGCCAAAAAGGCTTAATTACTTCAACAAGGCCTTCCATCAGTCCACTTAAATCTGAAATTATTCAGCACAAAAATGGTATTTTTACATACTGCATTAGGAAGAGTAAGTAGTCTGCAACTACTCTTCTTTTTATCACCTGCTCATCAAGGAACGCATTCAAGAGCCTCGCGGAGTCGAAGCTTTCTGAGGTCATCGTAGAACGGTCAACTTCAATACTAGACCCACTTACTCGCGAAGAATCTTAGAACAACCAAACCACTTCGTTCACCTTGGCCGCGCGTCACTCCTGAGGGTACGTAGTTGCGCGAATATCACACAATCTCTACTCTAGAGGGACAGCGCGCCTATGGCTGGCGACAGATCAACAGAGTATAAAGCTCTCTTCCTGAAAGAGGCGAGCTGCAAAAACAAGCAGAAGATCAGCATAGACAGGAAAAGCGCCGCAATCAGCCCACAACCTTTGGTGAATTTATTCATACCTGCCACTTTCGGGATCTTTGAAAGTCGAAACCCCATCTCGATCCACACATGGCACAATACCTCCACTATCTCGGAAATACTGTCCAATGTGGCTGCGCTTATAGGAGGAGTGTCCGGTCAGGCAACAAGCAATCTACGACGTGGTTTGCAGTTATCTGCAGCCACCAGGGAAAGATGCCCCCGTCTATTTTCCCTTGGTGGAGCTGGAAGACCTTGGTCGTCAGTTTGGTCGTCGACTGCTCAGGGACACAAATCTGATCTGCGGATCATCACATAGTACAGAACAAAACTTGAAAGCAGACATTCCAACCCTCTGTGGCAGAGCTAGTAGTAGTCAAGGAGCAGTGCATAGCTAATGTTAGAGCCACATAGAAGCTTATGCGAATCAGTTACGACGAAAATGTCATGAGCATTAGTGACAATTACTTTAGCTATGTTTACTCTTAACCTCTAAGATCAGTGATGATCAGATTGGGCTTAAGCTTCCCCCAGTCACCATCTCGCTTTGCCCTCTTTTTGCTTTGTTCTAAGCTTACTACTTGTGTCTTCTAAAAAGCAACATGCATCTGATACTATATGGCATAAATAAACATACTAAAGACTTCTATTCTTGTTTTCTATTGTTAAAGTATAAAGCTCAGGCGATAACTGAATAATTAATAGAGTGGCTTAAATGCGCCATAGTCCCAACTACTGAGAGAACTGTCAACACTGCAGTTAGATACAGGCCATTGCCTTCAAACATTGAGGACAAAATCTCACCTAGTTAGCGCGTCAGCCTGCTGCTTTGGACCACACTTCCTAGTTCTGCTCCCCTGATTCAGCCCCAAACCTTTGAATAACAATGTTATGCCAAGTCAGCAGACAGAGTCTCACCACCCTACCAAAAGCTCTGTCGAAGACAACGCCACTCTGAAGCTCAGCAATCAACAGTATGCACAGGGTAAACACTTGGTTCGGCGCTCAGCCGCAGATGACTGTGCCAGGTGCCACCATGATTGAACGCGCAGCAGCCCACAGTGGTGCCACTATTATGCAGAGTGGTAGCACAGTTCTCCACAGCTGAAAGGATTGTTTTCTTCATCGCTGTAGTATCACAGTTTGTGCCTGTGGTTGTCGCCTTATAGGCATACCCATAGTATAAGTCCCCGCTTACATCTGTACCATAAGTCAAGGTACAACTGTTCGCATCTGACTTGGACTTGATAATGCCAGCCAGAAACTCATAGATTTCAATACCTGCCTTTACTGTGGCAATAATTTTTGTCCCTGCTTTGACCGTAGTCTTGATTTTCGTGATGGTGATACCAGTGCGTTTGTCAAGGTCGACGTCAAGTGTGTTGTTGACATATTTCCAAGCATAGTTTGCATTGATAAGACCCAGAGTAACTGTCATGTTGGATGCTCCATTGTCCCACTCCATGAAAATTGGGGTGGTAGTCACATATGTTGTTTCATTGTCTCCAGCAAGACATGGAGCAGCAAAAACCCATGCGAGAACGCCACACAAGACCTTGCTGAGCTTGACCATTGTCCCTCTGTATATCTGTCGTAGATTGCAATAATGTCGAGAATTAGGATACAGGCCAGATAGACAAGATCCATGCGGATTGCGTCTTTTAGCATAGGTGAAGGACCTGGGGGCTTGTTGGCTTAGTCCGAACTTGGGTCTTGCCCTGGTGGATGATGATCAATATGAGTCACGTAATGAAGGATAGTATTTACCTACGGGTGGAGAGAGAATCCGTGTAGGCAACTAAGAGACTTGAGAGTGTGGGAAGTATAAAGCACACCTGGGAAGACAGTTCTGAAACTCACTTGTAGGAAGGGAATTGCCCCTTATAATATTAATATCTAGCCAACTTGCCGGGTCTCAGTTACTTAGACTTGTGGGATTCTACAGTCCTGATGGATGAAGGAACACCTATCTACTGACTATAGTAAACTCTGTACTAGTAGAGTGTCCTATTTCCTTAAAAAATGACAGTATCTCATGTCTGACTACCCTTAGACCGAAACAGGAAAGCCCAAGCTAGATTCAAATAGAACTCCCATCAGACCTGCCGCATGGATACGGAGACTGTGGATGGTAAATGGAGTTAGCAAGGAATGACTGCCTGTCGGATAATCCTCGGGCACTCTGGTTAATAAGGACGCCATGGCTGGCCCATACATCCCCTGCTAGCTGTACAAAATGGGTTTCGCCCCCAGCCGGCGAGGCAGTTCTAAGCTAGAGCCACCTATCTAACGTCTTAGCCCTACTAGTTATTTGAAAATCAACAGACTGAAATGAACTTCCCATAGCCTATCTAGGGGCTCACATCACCCTAAGAGGCTGATGAACAGGTGGAATTGTAAGGCCTATGCATGACAACATTATCACTAGATCATTAGAAGAAAATGTGCTACCTAATGAGTGCTGGATAGTGATTCTCGGTGAGTCTGCATGATAAGGCCCCTCATCATGCAGTGATGCCCATAATGGGGGTGGTTCATGATTTATGTCAACAAGAAGCCTGCTACTTAGTTTGGATATTGTATTCTTCTAGGTGAAGATAAGCATCTTAAAAATACTGGTAAGCCTCTCCTCCTTGCCTTTGGGAATGCAGCAAGTGTACGGAGACTTCTCGTGCAACATTGGATCTTTATTGAGAGCGAGCGAACCTAGGAGCAATCTAAGTCTTCCGAGTTAAGCTCTTTCTTGGCTATAATGCTTAGCGTGTCAAGGGGTCAAACATTCTTACCGCTATCGGTATACTCCCGTTAATACCGGATATCTGAGGGGTATTCTGGTTCTACTAATCAGATCGCGAGAATAGATATTGTTTTACAAATGCTGATCCAGCCACTCAAATTTTCGCATAAAAATTGCCATTCTTTGATATTTAAAATGAGCTACTTAATAAATTTAGAGAGAATCAGACCTTCCTCCTTATCCATTCTAGTTTACCATAGTAATTCAACTAAGGGTGACGCGGCCTTTGAGGCTAAAGGGGCCGGCAGCTTCCGAGCAACAATCCTTGTATTAGCAGGTCCTCACTGCAAGTAATAGCAATTCATAGAATAAGTCTAGATAGTAGTTAATCTATGCCATTCTGCAGTCAGCCAAGGAAGTTAAAGGCCTGTGGATTCGCTCTACCGCCAATGGATCCTGGGACATGGTAATGACCGTGGAGATAATGCAGCTAAATATTTGGCTGAGGAAGTTGCTGGCCTAAACAAGGTGCATGTCAGCGCCTGTTGTAGAGATGCTTGGGGGTATGTGTTGGAGATGAATCAACAGAGGCCTACGAGGCTATGATTATTAGAATCAGGGAGGAGAAAGGAATGGTTGTAGAGCAGTCAGAACAAATCGCTTAGAGAACTCCAAGGATTCAGGGGATTCCATTGGCTATATATAGCTGGCTATCAACAGGCTTGCAGCCCTCCGATGGGCCTAGGTGGCAAGGCGAAGTAGGTGAAGTGATATTCGATGAGTTTCTATTGACATTGGGACACGGACATTGTAGACCCATTGCTAGCGGACCACACCTAGCTTTCGATGTGGGCAAATCAAAATCAGCTTGAAAACCCGTACCCTAGAAAAAGGCGTACTAGTGGAGTGCTCTAAGCTCAAATCATCGTAGTGTTTAGGGCCGTCAACAGAAGTAGGAGGCCAAAAAGAAGCTATATCCTTCCCAGAAAGTGGCTATGTCACCTTAGAGAGGCCCGCGTCAGCATCATGACTCATGGGAAACCATTTATTTATTTAAATCGCCCTGTAAGTGAGGCCTCGAGTGTGGATAATGCTATCTTCCAGTACGGTGAAATGGCTCGCGCTATTCGCGTGCTATTCCTCGCCCTTATTGGAGAGAGTTAACTATTATCAATCCGGCACCATCTGTTGATCGACAGAGAGCGCTAGGTCCTCAAGCAGTTAGAGCCCTACGTACACCCCTAAAGAAAAATGCGTCAGCAATATCCACCTCAACAGCCATGATAGAAGTATGCAGCTAGGCGAGAATTAGCTCACCACAGGGACAGATAAGAGAGTCACCCTAACCAGGAGAATCCAAGGTATAAGAAGGAGAGCATCACCCGTGTGTATGAACAAGATAGCCTTTGAACGAACCAGCCCTGATTCAATTTGAGGCCCGATTTACAGGACTGCATTCAGAGGTTTCAGGTAACCCTTTCATTCTTTGCAAATTACCCACAAAATTAGCTGACTGGTATCTTCCAGGTCTAATATCAATCTGGAATTCACTAAGTCTTGTGATTGTCTCTGAACAACTGCGACTCATGCAGGTTTTCCAGCTACTTTTGATTTTATTCCTGGATACCTTTGCCCTTTACGAAAGATATACCTTGGGAAAATGGTCAGACCTGGCAAAGTCCTGTGTGGTGTGCTCGCATTCAGCCTTGTTGATCGAGGTTGTGCTGAATACTCTGAGACAACAACTGTCCTGACCACACCTATTATAGAGGAATGGAACAATGGAGAATCAAACATTACCATCTCTTTTGATGTGATGAGTGCCGAGTATGCATCCCAATATACCAATAGCACGGATGAGGCTCTGGCCAAACGCACGGGTATAACAATCAAAAGCATCAGGACAACAATTGTCAACGGCGCTGAGATCATCACCACCGCAAAAGCAGCATTGGACATCTGGCAGTTTATTGCAGGTATTATCAAGAATAAGTCCGACCTGGACTCCTGTACCTTGACCTATGGGACTGACACGGCGGATGATTACTACTATGGTTATGCATATGAGGCGACCACCACGGGCACCAACTGCAACACCACTGCTGAGAAGAAGACAATACTTGCAGCAGTTGAGAAGTGTGCAAATCAACTACATGCAGCTGGTGCGGTCCGTGGCTGCTGCGTGTTCAGTCATGGAGGTACCTGGAGAGGCCACTTGCGACTCACAGCTGAACCCAACACATACCCAGCGCATTCTGTGACTTGTTAGTTTGTTAGAGGAGCTCCTCCGTGGGCAAAATGATTGAGCCGCCTCGTCCAATGCATCTGGCTGAGACTGGAGGATGGCTTATCACTTATTGTTAACTAGTGGTTTGTTCAACATGTTGAAATTACAATTGCAATCGAAGAGGTTGAGATCATTCATATGGCCATACGGTCATTCCGACCATGGGCCTTTAGGCACCCTTTCCAGCCAGCAGAACCAGTTCATCATCACCCAAAAGCAGCTCAGCAACTCGTCCATCGCCACCATGTCACTGACTGGACAGTATGCCGTCTGCTCTTTCGCACCTGTCAAAGCACAAACATATAGAATTTTATTGTGTTTGTGTGTCCTAAATCAGGAAAAGTCAGCATAAATAGGCTGCAGGGAGTTAGATACATCCCATTATTGAGAGCTGGAGTTGATAAACATCGTAAGTGATCAGTTAAAAGTCCCCGCTAATGAGATCATGTGATGATCATCCTCGTCCCTGGTGTTGCCTGTTTTCTCCCTACAAACACCTGGTTCCATCTCGACTCACTCTTCAGTAGCTCACCAACACATTCTACGATGGCTGATCATCAAATCTTACATTACCTGCCGCCAGGATGGACGGAGCAGATGTATCAGAACCAGACTGACGCCGCCCTTGAAGCCGTTTCAGAACAGGTGCGTGGATATATTTTAATTAGAGCAAAGAAAGCTGAAGAAGAGATACTGACATGACCAGAAACTACAAAATCTGATGGAGCGCCAGGCAGCTGAAGCCAAGCTCATAGCAAAACATGGCTCGCATAAATGAGCGGCGCATCGAGCGCGGGGCTCCCCCCATGCGAATCCCATCGCCACCAGCCGATGACGCTACACCCGTCAGGTCAGGAGAAGCTGAAGCAGACAAAATTCACAACTCTCGAAAATCTGAAAACGCTAGTCTCGCTGGTCGAGGAAGACTGGCCCGGTTTCTGCTTTTTGGTGTTCCGCACCTATTATTGCGATACGCAACTCTAGGAGAAATTCCTAGCGGAATACGGCGCGGCCCTGGATGAGAGGATAGATGCTGCCCTGGCAGAATCCCGTATTGAGCGGATTCGCGACCACGCTTTTCTCAAGTTTGTGTCGGATGAAGCAATGGCGGGAGAGCCGCCAGGAAGGGGAGCGTATGCCTATCGCCTGTCCACGGAGGAGATGGACGACGATGCCGAGGAGGACCGACTTGAGCCTGGTTTCCACACGCGGATGTGTCTCATGGTCGACGAGGAGTGTATGCGTTCCGTTGCCGATGTGAGATCAGGTTCTCCTGCGCCATTCATGAAGGCGGTTGACGTCACCCTGAGAGAGCAGCCATTGTCGTACTCGGGGACGTTTAAGGCGGCGATCGCTTCGCTGATCACCAAGTTCTACCTCGCGCTGCTTGAGTATCAGGACACCTCGGATCTTGTGCCCCCAACGGAGGATGCAATTTGGGGGGCGTGAACCCCGAATCTCCCGCGATTGCTGAGAAGAGAGACAGGGTTGATTGAATGACCCGATTTTATCTTATACGCTACTCTACTCCTTTCGCGCCCCTGGGCCATGCGACAGCCCCATGCTTAAACGGGAAGATACATACCGTGGTCTCGGGCGACGACTGTAGGAAAATTGTCCCCAAGCAGGGTGTCCCTCGCGAGCCAGTGATGTCGATCAATAATATTCTCCCGGATTGGTCCGATCTTCAGGGTAAGCGGGTTCCCGTAGAGCTATAGTAGTGGACGAACATGAGCTAATGGCTTGCAGTTGGATAGAACCTTTGTATCGTAAACCCTTGCCAGCTGTATACGATCAAGTCGGGGGATGTTTGCATGTAGATTCAAAATCCATGGAGTATCACATTGCCCCAGCTTCGCGTGTGGAACTCTTTCATTAACGCTGGTTGCAGCAACCTCATCACGGGAGATCAGATCTGCGTTAGCTAGCCCGGCGCTCTCTGGACGGGCACAGCCATCCCTGGCGTCACAGTCACCAAGACTGGTGTTTATGCTACAGATACCATCGCTCCGCCAGGGCCCATAGACTTTGGCACAACTCCCAAATGTGGCAAGCATTATCAAGTCAACCGGGGGATTACTGCCAGCTCATTGCGCTCAACTTCACCATCACCATTTCACTATTTGAAGCCATCAACCCGCAGATAACGCGGGATGCTCAAACCTTACCCCTGGGCTATATTACTGCGTTCTTCCAACAGCAGACTGGATCCAGACTACAACGACCATGTCAAGCTGTCAGACCGCACCGGCACCCAGGATCAGTGGGACGACCGCAAATTGCTACGAGGTAAGGTGATAACTTGGAAATCACTAACGTGGCCCAGTGGTATGTGGTATAATCGGGCGATTATTACGTCAAGATCGAATTAGTGTATATAGGATTATGATGGCGCAGTTTGCAGCAGTGAGATCCCAATCTCAAGGATGACTGCCCAAACGTCCAGCCGAGGTGGCCTACTGCGTACATGGAGATCCTGGCAGTGGTACTACACCTGGCAATATGGCTGTCCGAGTTCGAGCACTTCCCACGTCTCCATGATCATATTAAGAATAAAGAGCAAATATGGTGGAAGCAACCTTTCCTTGTAAAAAGGTTTCATTGATAGTACCTCGGCTTTGTCCCTTGCTTGAAATACAATAACTAACAGCGCGTTTGGAGGTCAATACCTTGTGCCTATTGAAATAGAAAGAAAACACCAAGACGGACTTCTCGATGATTGATCTTTGACTCCCGTGGAATATATTTTCCGGCTGTTGCTTCCCTTACCCCCACATGAAGTCATCAGCTGTGTCGGGAAAACTTCGGATGTGTGGGCTGGGGAAATCCGGAGATTGCGGGGTGACGAACCACTTCTGTCCATACAGATGATACAACCCAGTTCTACCCGTCGATCATTGCCAATTTGTCTGCGTCGAAGCGGTTCGGACTGAACTGCGACTGGACTATGCCTGCCGCTTTTGAAACTGGTATAAGAGGGGTGCCTCTGGCTGTAAGCTATGCGTGACTTGACTTCCTACCACTTGAACAAAATGCAGACTATCTTTTCATGGGCTGTTATACTGCTCGGCGTTGCTGAGGCACAGCAGCTGTATATCACGACGACTGGATATCCTGATCGCCCACAATGCACAAAGCCAGCTGCCTCCCCGGAGTACTACTTTCACCCGTTCTCCTATACTCTGAATGAGACAGTACGGTAAGTAGACAGTTGGCAATAGTGGATCAGAAGAGAACTTTGCTAATGACTACAGCTTTGCCACTTCTGTACCGAGGCCCACGTCCACCCATACTTATGGGCCTCATTATGCTCATGCTGTGAAACATCTCAGCCCCGTTCCAGCGACGACAACATGGGGCAATTGGCTCCCTTATCAGACCGTCATCACGGCCACTGATACCACCGACCCCTATGGACAAGCCGCCTGGTCGATGCTGTGGCAGCAGGCCAGCATCGAGAACTATACGACGACCGGTTTGTACTCGACGACTGTCAGTCCGACGGCGGTGCCGAGCAGTTCACTGGTCCTGCCGCCGGCTGACTACTTCGGCCAGACAGACTGCTATAGATTCCCCGACGACTTCGTCTTTGGAGTGGCAGGTAGTGCTGCGCAGGTCGAGGGAGCAGTCGGCTTGGAGGGCCGCAGCCCGACTATCCTGGAGAAACTAGCCAACGCGACTCAGCCAAAGGACTACGTCACGAACGAGAACTACTACTTGTACAAGCAGGATATCCAACGTCTGGCGGCCATTGGAGTCAAGTACTACAGCTTCTCCATTCCGTGGACGCGCATCCTCCCCTTTGTTCTACCCGGTACCCCAGTAAACGAGCAGGGCATCAAGCACTATGACGATCTGATCAATACTGTGCTCGACGCTGGCATGCTGCCCATCGTAACACTTCTTCATTTCGACAGCCCCTGGATGTTCGTGGCCGGCAGCAATTTCACGGCCAAGCCGGACATTGGCTACAACAACGGAGGCTACCACAACGAGACATTCGTGGATGCCTTTGTCAATTATGCCAAAATCGTCCTCACGCATTTTGCCGATCGAGTCCCCATCTGGGCAACATTCAACGAACCCCTTCTCTACTCCTTCAATTTCAAAGGCGCCGATAACGTCGTGCGCGCGCACGCACAGGTGTACCACTTCTACCACGACGTCCTAAACGCAACCGGCAAAATGGGCATCAAGTTCAACGACAATTTCGGCGTGCCTCGCGACCCCCGTAATGCCAGCGACGTCCACGCCGCAAACCGCTTCCAGGAGATGCAGCTGGGGCTGTTCGCGAACCCAATCTTCCTCGGGCAGCAGTACCCGGATTCCATCCTGAACACCCTCCCCGGTGCCAAACCGCTCAGCAAGAAGGACCTGTCGTATATCGCGAACACGTCTGATTTCTTCGGCATCGACCCTTACACGGCGACAGTTGTCTCCCCCGCCCCAGAGGGGATTGAAGCCTGCGCTGCCAACACCTCCAGCAAACTCTTCCCGTACTGCGTGGTCCAGGAAACGAAGAATAGATACGGCTGGAATATCGGCTACCGCTCGCAGAGCTACGTCTACATCACACCCACCTACCTCCGGGAGTATCTGAACTATCTGTGGAATACGTTCCGCAGCCCGGTTTTTGTATCGGAGTTTGGGTTCCCTGTTTTCGGAGAGGCTGAGAAGACGGACCTGTCAGATCAACTGTTTGATACGCCGCGGAGTATCTACTATCTTTCGTTCATGTCGGAGATTCTCAAGGCGATCCATGAAGATGGGGTGCGCGTTATGGGGGCGTTGGCGTGGTCGTGGGCGGATAATTGGGAGTTTGGAGACTATAAACAGCAGTTTGGGCTGCAGGTGGTTAATCGGACGACGCAGGAGCGGTATTACAAGAAGAGTCTCTTTGACTTGGTGGATTTTGTGTCGTCGAGGATGTCTAAGTAGTCTCATCTCTGGGTGTCTATGAGCAAGCATATCCCCTTTGCCGTCGACGGGAGTGGCCCGCCTTACCATTTGCAGATAGTCAATCTATTTAGTATCAGTCGATTCATGACCTATATTCACAGGTAAAAAGAGCTTCTAGGGTATAGCTCAAGTAGAATCAACAGTCTTAATCCATCGCTCGATATCATCCACAACAGCCACATCCACACTTCCTCCAATATCATACTCGGCCGGAGTACACTTCCCTTCCCCGGGTACAAACAAGTGATTTAACTTCTCGTACAGCCAAAACTGTACATTACGACGATCCTGGAACTTTGCATAGAACGCCGCATAGTCATCGGTGACGGTAACCTGATAATCCCGTGCACCCTGCAGAACCAGGACTGGCCATTCGGATCTCTACAGTGATCTGATTGGATCGAACTCGCGATATTCAAGCCAATATGACGGACCAAGACCAAATGGTAATTGGCTGGCTGGCGTTGAGGTCAAAGCCGGACCATCCGCAAGTTCTGCTTGCTTTTCCAGCGCCGCAATAGTATTACTTAGCTCATCACTGGAAGATTGCCCTGCACATTCATCAAGGCTCTTGAAATAGAGCAGTTGTCGAATAGCACACCGGTATAGCGGTTGCGCCGGACATGCCATAATGATACAGCCTGCTACCGAGGGCTCAGCCGCAAGACGAGCAGCGATCAACCCACCCAAACTATGGCCCAGGAGGAATATCCTGTCGTCTTGGATACTAGGGTGTTGACGGACCCTGCGAATGGCATCTCTGACATGATAGACGTACTCATCGGTAAGCGTGACTGTCGCGTTGCGCGTGAGTAATTTCCCAGCGATCGTGGACGTAAACTTATTGAACCGACAGGATGCAATGCCACGATTGGCGAGACCAACAGCCATGTCCTTGAATGGTCTTAGGGCGCCAATGGTGGAATCTTTGTCCATGGGGCCGGAGCCGCCGATGAATATGATACAGGGGTACTTCTGGGATGGCTTAACGGAGGCTGGCAGGGTCAGTTCTGCTGCCACTCGGTACAGGCCCTTGCCGAGCGTGAGAGGGATCCGAGCGACATCCTCGGCTGCATAAGGTGGGGGTTTCCAGGGTGCACTCATGCCTGTTGCTTGCAAGGTGAGGGCTCGAAGACCGCCAATTTTGCCAGAAGGTGTCATGTGAAGTGACAAGGCAAGAGATACACGACTGAATTGGAGGGATACTTTGGCAGTAAGGAAGAACTAACCCATTGTGACAGTGGGATGACCAGCTTGTTGAAGAGGTCCGCAGTTTGTGAGTATCGCTCTCCATTGGCTTTCTAGAAACGATTCAGAGAAAAACCATCGCACCGGAGCGACGCATTGCTGTCGCAGATTCCTCCACTCGTGCCGTTGGAGGTAACCAACAGTCCGGGATGCATGCTGTTCGGCAAGGACGAGTGTGGCTTTTCTTTGTTGTTCTCCCTGTCTGAAATAGCTAATAGACTGACGCAAACTAATATACAGGTTGTAGAGCCACATGTTATCGGCAAAGCGTGACGTCCTTGAATCTGGGGACTGCAGACTGGATGACACCCGTTGTTTAGGGGCTGATGTCTGTCAACCCCGCGTGCAAGGATAAATTCCATATCACGTTAGGGCCATGTCCAACCAGTCAACAATAGCAACTCCGATGGAGATTCCAGGCTGGTCCAGGCTCCAAGGGTTAAGATATATAACAAGAAATATGACTTACAGAGGTAAGTAGGAATAGGAGTATAAGTCGTGCGGAGAGGACTAAGAGATACATTCCATACTTATGGCATGTCACTGCAGGTAGCATTACAACTGTGCTAGTAGACCCATTTCAATTATATTACATCAACAAATTCAGGACTATCTAGGGCCATACCTTTATTCTCCATGTTCCATTTATTACCAGGCTGGCTAGGCAACCAGGCAGAAAGTCTTGCCTCAGGCAACTGTGGAGACTAGGTAGACTAAATCTCTCCACCAACAAGCTAGCCTGACTTTCCCGATCAGGGATTCGTCCAAGGTCATCGCAACCAGAAAACTACAGGGACTAAGGTGCTTGGCAATCAAGCGCACTAGGCAACACCTCGCTTGGCCGCTTGGTGCCTGGACCCTCCGGCGCCTCAAAACTCCATCGCCCCTTTCTGTCGCATCCCGCGTAGATCGAATCGCAGTCCGCAACATAGGGACAAAATGGCGAGCGGAACCCGGCCATATTCACACACGAATGTCAACAATGTGTCAATGAACAGTGTGCTCACAAAAGTACATATCGAGAACCAAGAGCTGGAAATCGGTAGGTTCCTGTGATCATGACGCGCCGGATCACCGGATGAGCCTTATGCTAAGATCCACTTCCAGTCGATCGTCTGATTGAGCCGCAGACCATAGCACATTTCTTAGAGTTTGCGCTGGGCGCTCCCCTTCCCAATGGCAAGGAATGCGATCTTGTGCGTATGACACCGGATGAGATCCCGTTGACGCAGACGAGTCCTGATCCGGACGCCGATCAGACCGTCATCATTGACCGGGTCATGAATCGCATTGGGTCCATGCAGGATGGGGACCGGTTGTGCTGTGTCGGGAAGAATATCCATTCCCTGAAGAACAGATTGTGGGAGGGGATTGTCCCACTCTGTGAGCAGCGGTGGAAAGAAAAGGGCCTCGACAAGACAGATAATTTTGACGTGGCGTGTCAGCATCTCTCGGCCGTTTGTGCAGCATTTGAGTATTTGAATCAGCCCAAAGTGATGCAGAATATGCGCGACACGTTCAACCTGATCTGGGAGCATTGGAGGGAGCTCGAAGTCATGCTAAATCGACAACGCGCAGAGAAGCAGCAGCCATCTGTCAGCGTGACGAGCCTGTGGACGGCATACATGACGGCCCATTTTGAGGTCATGACGGAGCGAGCACACCGCTGGGTGACGGTTAAAGTCAGCGCCCTTCGCGCTCCGTTACTCACTACGCTACGTTTACATCGGCCCGTGGACCTGGACACGCTAGACAGGATTCAGTGGCGGACAACCGACGCGCTGCACAAGCTGGCCGAAATCAACTGCGTCGCCGACTACGGTATTCTTATTCCCATGGACGGATACAAGGGCTACACTGCACCAGCCGTCCCGTCGAATATCCCTCCTGCTCTTCGTTCGACAGTCTGGCCGGAGCGTGGAGAAGCATGCTCGCGGAGGCTCAAGCAGGTCACACGCACAGCAAGATACCAGAGCATAATGCAGGCGCGTGCCAGGGGTGAGACTCACCACCTTGCCGATCCGGTGTCACTGCACCAGGCATGCCTTGACCAGGTCAATGGTCAGCATCAGCTGCGGCGAGAAGTGCGCGGCAATCCGGTTGAGCCGGTACCCAGGGAGCCATGGATCACGAGGCTGTTGTATTGGATTCAGAGCCCGGACGATCGACGTCAGAGTTTCGGACTGGCTATCTACCGGTTGACCTATAAGCAGAGCGATGCTGAATGGAACGCGTGTAAACAGAAAATAGAGCAACACATTACAGACTGGGGTCGCGGACAAACCGGCTCCAGTGCGATCAAGCCGCATCTGAAGCTGCACTGGAAGGATGGGAAGGATCTAGGAATTCCAGAAGGAGACGTCGAGGCTGCAAGAAAGTGAGTTCTGTCCGAGATTGAATACTCTAATTCTAACGTACAGACACTTCCATGGTCTCGGTCCCTCGCCACTCGACGCTCCCGACCAGGTAAATGATCGAGTATTCCTCGTAGTCGACGAGCCCAGTGTTGCTTCGTATACGAGTTCAAGCTACTCCTCCGCCCTGCTCACCGCGCGCAACGGAGACTTTGCAGGTTTCGTGCTAGCCATCGACGCCGAGTGGAATCCAGTCGAAGGTCCCGATCGTCCAGACGAATCTCCGGGGTACCACGGACAGATGCGAATCCTAGGCAGCCTAGTCTGGGGAGATCTGTTCGCCATGCATGCATCACAATCCGCCTTACTAGAAGATCTGTGGCCTCTTGCTCTTGATCATCCGAACACAGTCTACGTCGGGCCTGTCGTACCAGACGAGATCAAAGACTGGCGGCTCCAGAACGGCTTACGCAATGTGTGTCTACAAGCAGTAGCCGACTACGCACACAAGAAGATCAACGGGACGCCGTTTCCTGTTGCTCCCGTGCCGACCATTCCAACACGCGCTGCCCGTTCAGGAACCGGGGATGCAGGGCCCTCCGCCTTGCCAAGTAATGCTCCTCCTGAAACTGCGCAGGGTCAAGAAGACAATCCGCTGCGGTCGTACCTGCTGCGCGCATTTCAGCGACATTTGCAAAGGAATAATCATTACCGCGAAGCGGCGCTGGTCGGAGAGATGCTGACTACTCCTGCAAATCAGACGGTCGATATGGAGCGGGTGCGACAACGCATGGAGCAGAGTCGGGCTAATCCTGCGCCGTCTATGAGTCGAGAGGAGGAAGATGCGTTGGAGAGGCAGGAGTTTGAGAGAGAGTTTTGTCCGCAGCAATAGTTGATTGCTGGTCTAAGGTTCTTCTCCTTTTGTGCGCATCAGGTGGGATATTACGTGAATAGCTGTTCAGCGACCATATCACTCTTTATTGTTACCTATATAAAGATTTGAGTTCTACTCAGAGTTTTGAGGGTAGTGTAGTCACTAATAATGGAAGACTCAGTGTATAATGCTAGAGCGCATGAATTAAATGCGTGCTCGCTATATTAGAGACTCTAGGCACACTCCGTGAGCAACACTTAATATAGAAATTGTCCCCTAAGAAGATTCATAAACGTGGAGACTAATTCAGTTATTCAAAATTAAGATTCCACTGTTAGAAGCTCCCTGGAAAACCCCTATTCTAATCATGCTTTCAGCCAGTGATAGATCCAGAAGATCTTACCTAGACAGTGGGGCTATGCTTGACCGACTTCCCGTGGCGCTGGATATATCTAATCCATTGCCATGGAACCAAATAATTCGTCAGAATTAGCTGCAAAACTCCAGCACTTTAAAGCTGGTCTCACTAATCTTTTCATGTCCTGTGAATAGTGTGTTCATAAACATTTAACTTGCGGTATGAATCTGACTAAGCACATTTCTCCTAGTTACTTACTCATATGCAGATGAACGCTCAACTATTACCTCCCCAAAACTACCTATCCCTTGCGTCATAGTACTTTAACATAGGGATAAGGCCATGAGACTGAATATGGCCGGACCTGAGTCGGAGTCGTGAGACCGCGGACCTGACAATACTTTGACTTTATTGGCCCACGGGTGAGTCTTGAGCTGACAGATCAGACAGGTACAAGTACATCACCTCAATTCATTATTTCTCAGAATGATTACTGCTCAAGATCTACAGTCTGTGCACAGGAGCTTTCACTTTTCTTATTCATAAGAACCCCCGCGTACATCATCATGACGCGGCCGTCACGCCAGAGCAAACCAGCACAAATCAATCAAAGAGACGCAGAACCCACACTGCCTAAGATGTCTTAGTACGGCCGGAGCTGAGTTCCGGCCAATCAGTGCTTTGGCAGCTGTGTTGTCAGTGGAGAGGATTGATGTCACCAATGCTGACCTAATATGGCAGCAACAACAAAATAAGTTAACAATCATGTTTTGCAGTCTGACTCGGACCTCTGGCTCAACAGCTTCAGTCTTTAACAATTCTTGTTGATTATGTTATGGAGTCTGAAGATGCACAAAGGCTCGAGCAGTCGCAATTTTCTGAACCAGCTGAGAATCTGCCAAATTCGTCGTTCAGTAACGCATCAACAGAGCAACTACAATCTGAGGAACTGCCCTCGGTGAAAGTTGCGATCCCACGACTCGCTCCTCCTAGAACCACCGGCAACCGGCGCATCAGGACGGCATGTGCGGCATGCAGGGAGCAAAAAGCCAAGTGTAGCGAACATCGACCATGCCTTCGCTGCGTCAGTTTCGGCATCACTTGCACGTCGCTCGAGAGTAAGCGCGAAAGTAGACAAAGGTTAGCAGGAGATCTGGACACGCTTGAACAGTTTACTTAGTCTTATATAGACAAATTGAAGAACTTGAGCAGCAGGTTGCTCTCTACGAAGAGTTACTGCAGCACCTACGGTCCAGGGTCGATACTCAAGATGCAGAGCTTATTACGAGGACATTGCATAGAGTAAGTCATATCCGGTCCCTTTCCATTCGGCTTCTCGATTCTGACAATTGCCAATAGAGGAGCTCCATCACTAGGCCCCCATCCCCGGACCCAGTCATCGCGACGCATCCTACCCCTACTCAGCCTTCGGTTGCCGTGGACTATGTGGAGGAGGACTACCATCGGAATCAGCAACTACACGCATTCGGCTATCTAGGGTCGCATTCCGAAATCTCATGGATACGTGATCTAAGGAAGGAAATAGACAGGGCCACTCCTTTGACGGAGGCGAAGGCAGCTTCACCCGGCAACGGTTCCAAGGCATTGAGCTCGGTAAGTTATTTTCTGGATGATCAGAATCTGTTAGTCGATCAGGGTATTGCCCCCTATGATCGTCCTTCTCGTACTACTGGAGATAGGCTTATACATCTCTATTTTGACGCGGTTCATCCCTCTTTTCCCATTGTTGGTAGGATTCCATTTATGCAGCAGTATGCATTATATTATTCCCGGCCAAATATGCGACCACCAGCCAGGTGGCTTGCGATTCTGAACTTAGTCTTTGCTCTGGGGGCCAAACTCCGACTTCTTCTTTCGGAGCCGTTGATGGAAGGTACCGATGGGCCCTTGGAGTATTTTTCCCGGGCTCAGAAGCTCAACTTTACGAACGGCCAGATTTTTGATCATCCCAACCTGCAGCAGGTGCAAGCCGAAGGCTTGAGCGCGTTTTGGCTCATGTCAATGGGGCACGTCAATAGGTAAATATTCATTCTCATAACCCCGGAATGGTGCATCTAATACGATCTGCAGGGCATGGAGAACCTGTGGTGTCTCCATGAGGTCCGCCATCGCTCTGGGCATTAATCTCCGCAGCGAGAGCAAGGACACGCCGAATTTCTCTAGAGAACTCCGATATCGGGTTTGGTGGTCCATATACACGCTGGAGAACACACTCTCCATCATGACTGGCCGTCCCACGAGTGCTGCAGATACATTCTGCACCACACCTCTCCCTATTCCTTACGAAGAGGACCACTTTCATGGACCTATCGCATCCCAACTTCTCTCGGACTACAGTGTCCGATATGGCTATATGCAAGCCTTCTCCTCGAGAAGGCACAAACACCCCCCTTCCCAAGTTTCAACCAAACCTGCACCGTCAGTAGGACACTACCTGGCTTCGGCCATCAACGAGGCCGCGCCTAGTAATGCTCTTTACTTCCTGTATTTCATTGACATAACGATGATCATGCGGCGAGCAATTGATGTGCTGTATGCACCAGGCGGGTCTAGAGAGCCTTGGCCTAAGGTCGGCGCAGCAATAGTGGACCTGGTAAGAGACGCAGACGCGTGGAGTAGCAGCCTTCCCGATGTATTCCAGTTTAGGCCGATGCAGAAGTCGAAGCTATTTGAACGGCAGCGATGGAGCCTTGCCTTTCGCTTCTATAGCACCAAAATCACTATTTCTCGCCCTTCTCTTTGCCGCACCGATCGGCTGCGCCCCGGTCAGGTTCAGAATCCCCCGGTGGATCAAAGGAAGAATGCAAAGATATGTGTTGACTCCGCCTGCGATATCCTGGACCTATTACCGGACACGCCGGATGTGCTCTGGCTGGTCCAGTTGTCGCCGTGGTGGAGTATCATCCATTATCTGATGCAGTCCGCGACTATCCTACTAATTGAGCTTGATTTCTGCGTCAAGTTCGACGTCGAAGAGGCCGCCAAAATCACTCTGATGGTGGAAAAAGCTATGGGGTGGCTTCTTGCAATGGCTGCCGATAACCTAGCGGCTCAACGAGCCTGGGAGGTCTGCCATAGCCTCTACTGCTGCATTTCCCCAACGCCTGTCGACAGCCTGAATATAACGCCTTCCCTCTCTACTTCACCGGAACCACCGCGGAGCAATATCCTACGAGCGATGCAAGATGGGCTGCAACTTACACAGTCGAATGTGTCTCTGTCACAGAATAGAGTTGTTCATCCCACGCTGCAAACGATGTATGATCAATTTGTGCCTCGTGAATCTAGTGGAGATATGTCCGATAGTCCTGGCAATACCAATCATCAGTAGTCACCAGAAGCTTTGTGTGTATCTGGTCATGCGTGTTTCGATATATACTGTGTATAACCACATCAGCCAATAGAAGCATGAAGACAAAGACCGGGGTAGCATGATAGATAAATGGCTGACGTCACTGGGAAGAAATTGGGTTTCCTGGGGTAGATTAACATATGATTGTGAGTGGTCCAAGACATGAGTGCCATGTGTGGCTTGGAGAAGATGCCCAAATGACCATGAATCTTTCCAACGAACCAGAAGACGAAACAAAAAGTCATTGAATGGGAGGAGAAATGAATATGAACTCATAAGTACTGAGATGCGGCCTGTATGCATAGACTATACGGGTTAATCTATCTTTATGCACGTGGTTAAAATGTTTCTCCCCAAATATTATCCCCGCGCCAAGACCCAGAGCTGCCTCAGGATAACCACGTGGATCAGCTGCCAAGACTCTCGCCGGTTCTAGAGTCTCCAGGCATCACCAGGCATCCCATTCAAGTGACATGAATATGATCCTCTTATCTCGACCCATTCCCTCTCATCGTTTCTCTCTTTTCTGTCGTCCATCCTCATTCCATCGATTCCATCCGGTTTGCGAGTAACTTTTTAAATTCAGGCACTCCAGTGCCACTCCTGAGGTCATGGCCACCACTACCTCGTCGGTCGCCAGCTCCCCGACCGTCCCGCCGCAGGGTGGCATCCTCGAAGGTGGAAATCCGTCCCACTATGACCCCAAGAATCCCATTGTAACTTTCATCATTCAGGTCAGTATTCCATCATGATAAGCAGAGCTCAAAATTAATTCGACCAGGCTTCGATCATCATTATTCTTTGTCGCCTGATTCACTGGCCGCTTTCCAAGCTCCGACAGCCGCGAGTGATCGCAGAGGTCATTGCCGGTATCGTCTTGGGTCCATCGGTAATGGGACGGATTCCCGGGTTTACAGATGCAATCTTCCCTGCTGCATCTATTCCCAACCTGACTCTTGTCGCCAACTTGGGTCTCGTCCTTTTTCTGTTCCTCGTCGGCCTCGAGACCGACTTGCGTTTTCTCATCAGTAACTGGCGCGTGGCGGCGAGTGTCTCAGCTGCGGGGATGATTCTGCCATTCGGATTCGGTTCCGCGATCTCGTATGGTCTGTATCACACGTTCCGGACGGAGCCTGGAATGGCTCATATCGATTTCGGAACGTATCTGCTCTTTATTGGCATTGCCATGGCGATCACGGTGAGCGTTATGACATCCAACTATTTATTGATGACAGCTACTCATTCAGCAGGCTTTCCCGGTCTTGTGCCGTATCTTGACCGAATTGA